TTGATGATGGTTCTGGAGAGTGGCAATCAGAGCACTAGTTAATTCTTAACTATCTTTAAATTTTGTCACCAACTGCAGACTTTAAATTTTTCTATTGTTAAGATTCTGTGCATCTTCAGTTGCATTTTTAAAGTCTGTGGCTGTTTTTCGTAAATGCTGATAAAATTTAGTGTTACGTCATTGTTCATGAAAAGCCACGTTACTAAATCACAGGAGAAAGGCAGCCATAATATAACATGTCTGAATTTACAATCCATTTCTTCACATAAGTAAAAGACTGTGTAAGGGAAGGTGTACTGAGATATACTTCAGATATCGCAATTTTGACAAACTCGCAAATCCTTCTACCATAGACTTAGCTTAACAAGGGAGGTAATGGAGACAATGTCTATAAAGGAATGGCCCATATTTTTCAGTTATTTAGTTAATTAGAATAAATTTATGCTTTTTTTTTTATTTAGAATATTCGTTTTTATCCGGATTTATCTTTTTTTCTTTTTAAAATAACATGCATTGTCACATATAGCATGTCAATACTTAAATGTTGAAATGAGTGAAAATCATAATTTATATTTATTAGGTAAGTGTATCAATAGTTTCTCTGTCGACTTTGACTAGCATTAAAAGTTGAGATTAGAATAGTTTGCATTGGTTTATGTAAAAGCTGTCAAAGTATGTTTGACTGCTTAAACTGTCATGATTTTTCTATAGTTTAATTCTTCTGAGCAAACAAAACTCGTAAGCTGCAAAACTTCCTTAAATCTGAGTGAACTTTCACATTTAGCTGTATTTCCTTCAGTTATTGCATCAATTATAAATATTATATTATCTTTGGGGGGATAGATATGAAGGTAATGATCCTAATTAGATTTATTAAGTCTGTGTAAATGTTTATTTAACTGTAAAGCAGTGGTTTTTAAAATTTAGTTTACACTGCTTTAAATTTAATGTTAAAACAATTTTTCACATACATCTTCTTTTAATAAACAAATCAAACATCTCAAAATTTTACTGTTTGCACTATCTTAAAAATGTATTGGTTGCAAATTTTGAAATTTTCACAGATTATAACAGGAATTCTTTGTTTACTTTTAAGACAAGATTTTTTTTTTCTCTACATTAAAAAAAGGGGTTGGGGATAAGGCTGAACGGGAAGTATTGGTTTTTCCTTCCTTGGGCATTGGGTAACATAATTTCAAAATTATGGTATCATTACTTCATACTATTTTTTTTGCTCTAGTACAGATCTCTGCAAAATTGATTTGATTTAGTTCTCACTTATTTCCCTTGATGCAAAGAATTACAAACAAATTGTATGGAAGTATTGTTGCATTTTATAAATGCTATTTCTTCCCTTTTATTTATGCATTTTGCATGAAGCCTTTTAGTGTATGAGTGGCTGAATCTGTGAAGCATAAGAGTGGTTCACATTGACTGAAAAGTTTTCATGGTTTTCTATGTGTGTAAATGTAAAAACAAATTGATATTAATTTGGAAATTCTTGTCAAGGGCAACTCGACTACTGGGCAGATAGCCCTTGAAATACTGTGCCATTATCAGTTGTTTATTTAAAAGCAACTCAATCTTTGGAAAGTTGTTTTCATACTACCTAAGTATTTTAAGCATATATGCAACTTTAATTATAAAAACTGGTGTGGCGTTAATACCCATTTCAAACTGCAAAGAGCTGAATCTGTTTGGCTTTGTGCTTATGGATGCAATAGGAGGTGAACTGACTAATCATAGTTCACATTAGTAACATGCTCATTTTCTGTCAAGGAGAGTTCTTATAGAATGCACCTTAGGCTTATGTGATTACATAGCCTAAGCAGTTTTTCTAATTCTTTGAACACTTCACCCAAATATGATAGATAAGCCTCTGCTGGTGGAACTAATATGTACTATGTGGTCTAGTTTTTATTATGTGTATAAAAAGGCAGGTAGTCAATGAAAATTTTACAAAACTGTGCAGAAGTGCTCATAATCAGTTTCTGTAGGAGAGGGAGAAATCCTTAAAAATATAGTTGTATTTTATGGTTATTTTTTAATACTGTATAGCAAAGCTAATGCATTTTAGGTAAAGTGTACTTAGTAAATTGACTTATTTTTATGGTTTCCATGACCTTTTATTGAACTAAAGTCTGTCAAGTTTTTACATAACAAATACATTTTTAATTTTTTGATTTAACTGGTAATAATAGATAAACAGTATGAGCCTTTATGACAGAAATATAAACATCAAATGTTGTGTTATCTTGCACCACTATTCGAGATCTTTCTGTAGTGATATTGTAGCTAATTACTTTGATGTATATTTAGTTTTTGTTACATTAGTAATGTCTAATGATTTCAGTTCTGAGGTTCAGCTGATACATACATATGTAGACCAACTACAGGCTGTGGATTTTGAGCTGTGAGAAAATCTACTGAATTTTTAGATATTCAATGTATCAGTAGAGAAACTTCAAAAGTCTTTTGCTTTTTGCATGATTTCTGTTTATGTAAAGTAGAGAACTATGAAACATTTTGCTGCAGAAATAGTATAAGTGGCTTAAAAAAATAAAGAATTTAAATGTAAATCTGTTCGACTTGTTAATATGTTAAGATAGCATTATTATTTTTTTTTTTTTTTGATTGTGGCTTAGACCTTCAGGTCAGTATGAATAATTCTTATGGTACTTAACATGCACCTAGAACAATGATAACACAGCATAAAGGAAGCTCTAAATGACAAAGTGAGGTATGTAGACAATTAACTATGTTATAGTATGTATTTATAAAATATCGTATGCAAAATTTTATAAGTATATTGCTAGGGTTCATGTATATGAAAGTTATTACTTTAGATTTCATTTCATTAGTAGGATATACTGATTGCTTCTGTTAGTTTTTTTAATCTATGCACTTTGCCTACATCACAGTTTGAATGCCTGATTTCTTAGACATAAGGTGCTCTTGTGTGTTTCAGTTCTGCTTTCTAGGCTCCAGACAATATAAGGCATTGAAAGGTTTTATGGCTGGACTTTTTGTTCTTACTGTCACATCCACTCCTGCTGAGAAGTGCTTCTATTCCATTTTGTGTAACAGTTTTTGAGATTTTTGTTCTTGGCTTTTTTTAGTCTTATTTTTTATTAATTTTCCAAATTCTGAAAATGTTAGATTCAACTCTATAATTAAAAAAAAAAAGTTTAATCATTAACATTTCGGTAAATTTTTTTTCGTAGTGAAATGATGAGATGTGAAATTTAATCAGGTGTATGTTATGCATTCAGTTTTATTCAGCATGATTGTAAAATAATGCAGAATGCTAGTAAAATAATGAAACTGTCTTTCAACAATGATTATTAGCCTGTTGTATGTTATGTAGGCCCAAATAGTTTTTCAATATAAGTTGTTTATATATATTTGATTGGCTGAACCAAAAAGTTTTTTTAGCCTGCTACTGATGTTATCTTATAATTGTTTATCAGTTTTAAAATGCAATTTTTTAATTAAAGCATTGGAAAGGAGTGTGATAATGATTTTTTAAGTTGTGATTAAAATTAAAAGTCTGTAATATTAGTTTCTAGAGGAGGCACTAGTTCAAATTCATTTCTAATTCATTTTCAAAAATTCATCAGTGAAGAAAATTTTCCATAGACTTCATTTTTAGCATAAATAGAATCGAATTTTATTGAAAATTTCATTTTAGCATAAATAGAATTGAATTTTATTGAAAATTTCATTTTAGCATAAATAGAATTGAATTTTATTGAAAATTCGTCTAACCTTACATTCATGTTTATAAAATGTATAAAGAAAAATACTAAGTGAAGCTGACTTTTCAGTAATGGTTAGGACATTAATAGTGAAATCAATATATGAAGTTATAGCACTTATTAAATAAAGGATGCGAGTTCCCTAGAAACAGACTCGCTTGATAGTGGAAGGTTGGTAAGAAAATATTTGATAGTTCTACGGCTTCCTGTAACTTTCCAGAAAAGAAGAGAAGTGCAGTGTTTTCTTTTAGGTGTAGAAGGAGTCTGCTTGTGTAGATGTTTTACTGATTTTCCTTATTAATATATGTTTAGCGTTTTCCTTATTAATATATGTTTACGTTTTATATGTTTAGCGTGTTGATATTATAATCTTAATATGCTTCTGTGAATTTAACATGTTGGTGTGAGAAAAACTTATCCAAAATTATATTTTTATTGAGGAGATATAAGCCAAATAAATTGTAAATGTAATTGGTTGTATGAAAAGTATATAGAGTTGAAACATAAGCTTAATTCCTTGAATTTTCAATTTTTTGTAAATTGCAAATAAAGTTTTATATTAAACTTATCATTCATTTATCATGCATGACTACATGTGATGCAGTAAAAATTGTCATCTGGTTATTACTAGTAGAGGAAACATAAAGCTGGAGTTCAGGGTGAACAGGTTAGCTATGGTATTTTTCCATACATGTAACATGAAGACAGTAAACTTTCCTTTAGAAAATCCTCCTTGAAGGCATCCCTTCTGTAGGCAGAGTTTTGTGGCAGCCTTATGTTTTGTGCCATTTTCAAATAACCTTTGTAACTCAAAAGGGAGGTAGTTTTTAATTGTGTTGGTAAAAATGTTGTGATGTTGGTAACAAATATTTTTCTTTATTATGTACATTACGTGTTATTTTGTGTTAGTTATCTTTTAAGTTACTGTTTTCAAGTGTAACTATAAACTTAATAATTGTCACATTTTTAAGGAGATTGTATAATTTTAACTAGACTAAAGTAACGACAAGTTTAGATATAATATTTCTTTTTCTCTACATTTAAATGTTTTAAAGATAATTTTTTATGTAATTTTTTCCTCATTAGTTATTTTTTCTTCAGATATTAAATTTGGCCGTATAAAAATGCATATTTTTATGTATCTTTTAAGTACAAAGTAAAAAATGTTCCTTTTATAGACATGCAAATGTATATGTGTATTTTTTTTAAGCTGAGGTTGCATAATGAACTTTCTACTTTCAGACAGTACAGTTCGTGCAGGGCATATTTGTAGAAAAATATGATCCCACTATAGAAGACAGTTACCGTAAGGTAAGTGTTAAATACTTGCTAATATTTCAGGTGAAGATATTGTGTTATAATAAATGAAATTTGTATGTGTTCAAGGAATGCATCATTGCTAAAATATGTCTAAAGCAATTTTATTTTATTGATGAATTTTAAGTATTCTGTGTTTACTCTTTTCTGATTGTATTGGGTATATAGGGTTACATGCTATAATTTTTTAATTTAACTTTGCCAACCATACTTGCTTTTCAGTTTTAAAGTTTGATAAGTTTTCTCTGCACTTCCATTTTCTTTTTAAGTGCCCACAGAGGATTATTATTTTTTTATAGCCAACAAGGCCAAATTAGCATATCCATAACATATCAACATATTTTCTTTTTGTCAATTTTTTTATTCTTTATGATGCAATCAAGAGTAGCTTCTCTTTTTATCTGTTTTATTGACATTATTAAATTTCATTTTATATGAATGGTTTTAATGTAGTGCAGACATTTGTAGAGTTTTATATGAATATTCAAGTAATGTTTAACCGTTTAATATTTTTATTTTATTGCATTATATGGTACATTATTAAGTTTACAAAAATAAATATTATTTATACTAATTGTTAATTGTATTTTCATTGTATTTAAAAGTATTTTGTTAAATAAAAGCTTTTAAGCTTTTCCAAAAATAATTTCAACATAAGAATTCAGGTTTGTTTTAATCAAAATATGATTTCAATGATTTAACAATTTTAATATTATATAATTTTAATTTAAACAACAAATCAGAACCTGAGACCACGTTTCAGAAGTGTGAGTAATAGCTTCTTATACACCGTTACTTAATGTGAGCACCGTTGCTATAGACATTACCAAAAATTATAAAGGGGAACTATTGCTCAACCATTGCATGCTTGAGTCATTGTTCTGTTTGAGAAGTGTCATTCATATATGAGCCAATTAAAAATGAAACCCTTAAATATGTGTTTTGTATATTTTACCATTACTTATTAAAATTTTATCCTATTTCACCAATAGTGCAGTTTTAAAAGTTTAGCTGTTACTGTTTGTATACATAGCTATATTCTGATTGCTGTTTCTGGTTATACAAACTGGTAAAAAAGTTGTAATTTTATATACCTACCAGAATATTAGCATATTAATATATATATATATATATATATTTGTCTCCAATTTTAAAATTGTTTAGCAGACTTGAGTTTCATAAACTAAGAAATTTTCTGTGCCGTCTCTTATTAATGTCTGAATAAACTTGATAAGTACTGAAAACACAAGTTTGGACATATAGTCAAATCTTTTATTAGCAGATATTCTTGGGTCCAAGTGTTTTGTGTATTGCTGGGGCAGTATTTGGTAAAAAGGAATGCAGTTTCGTAAAACGAATTTGTTTTATGCGAAGGAGATTTTTAAGTGACTTAAATAAGAATGAAAAAAATAATTATAAGTAAATAAATTTGATTTTGAATAAAAATAAAAAAATTCAAATGAAAAGAATGCATTCTGTCATTTTAATAAAGGAAGTCTAGCATTTCAGGATCAGATGCAGTTAGATGTTGCATAAATTTGTTAAAAGCAATCCATCACAGCAGTTTATTTTTGTTTACATATTTTTTTGCACAGTCATTCTGAATAAAGTTTTAGCTTTTGGTTATAATGAAATATATCAGTTTCCATGATGTAAGAAATAGTTTTCAAGTGCATTGATATATTTCTGCGTATTTTTATTTATTTAATGCATTTGTTAAGTTTGTTTCAGAATCTTCTTCAAAATATATTTTTCAGTTTTTCAGTGTGTGAGTTAAACTGGCAATGTATTCAGCTTAGTTCTACAATGAAAAGTTTGAACTAAAAAAGGAGACGTCTTCTATAGTCTTTTAGTCCAAAGGGGCAATTTGCCCAGAAATACTATTAATTTCGTTTTAGCATTTTGCGTTGAAATTTCAGTTCTTTTTTTCAAATTGTTGCCACCAAATATTAGAGTTCTGTATTATATTTCAAGAAATTAAATAATGAAGAATCTGCATAAATGTATGTATGTTTCTCGCATTGTGATAAAACAGCGATACCTAGAGCCATTAAATTTTGAATAACTTAAGTTTCCACCTGAATGGGCATCTGCAAGCACAAATTTGGAATTTGTTTTATTATCTGTTTTAGATTTTGTAAAACTTTAACGAATTTAACTTTAACAAACTCAACATTTCAAAGCGAGCAATGGCAGCACTGTATGAAAAAAAAAAAAAAATTATCTCCAGCATGCGACTCTGTGTATCGAGAATTCTAAAGATATGCTCATTTTAAAATTATTTTATGATATTGCTGTTGAACTGAATTTTATGGTTTAAGTACAAATATAATATATATATATATATATATACAGTACAAAGTCTGGATTAGGAGTTTTTTCCGGATTATAGATCATCAATTAAATCTGGTAAGATGGTATGCAGAAATTATACAATTAAAAATAGGAAACCGTAATTTATGAAATAAGAGCAATTATGATCTAAAGGGTATCAAAATTTACAAAAAAAAACTTAATATTTATTTGTTTACTTTATTAAACATTTCTTTCAATGTAAGTTGTTTAAGTTGCTTCGTTTTTTTTGTGCTAATACTCTTCAATTCTATAAACAGACATAATTTCTTGTACAGTTACAAAGTTCCACTGTTCAAGTCCTGTAATTGTTGTGTTGAGAATACCGACTAACTTGTGAATAAAAAATTCTTTCGTTTTCAATAACCTCTCTGTCTTTCTTCACTATTGGAAGCGTGCATGTGTAAACGCTTTACTGGCTTTACGCGCATGCGTAAGTTTGTGACTTTGAGGTGCGGATTATAGATCATTCCGGACAATGTACGTCCATATTATGGACTTTATACTGTAGTTTTTAAACCATCATCATCATCATTGATCTCCAAAGTAATTTGTAAAATTCCCTTCCGGGAGCACTTTTCAAATGACATTTCGATTTTGATGGTAGATTTTTTGACTGATAGTTTTGCAAACAGTTCATCAGTTTTCTTTTCTTTGCACAGGCAGAAAAGACAAGTTTTAGTAAGCTTGCACAGTAACAAATTTTTTACATTATTTTGAATGCTTCAGCTGTTCTGTGGCATGAGGGCTGGTGTATAAGTAATTTTTGGGGGATTGGGGATATTTTTATTTTTTCTATTTAAATTGTATCTGCTTGAGATGTAGCACTTCAATAAAACCTTCATTTCTTTTTCAAAATTTTTTAGTCAAATTTTGTCAAAATTTGTCACCTATTTCTTCAGACTGTTGGTTGAAATCTAGGCTTCAAATTCAGTCATGTGAACTAAGATTTATTATGCGGCTTGGCATTTTTTGTACATTTTCTGTTGCAAGTGGTTTTTTACAATCACTAGTCATTGCTATGCAACATCACTGAACAAATCTTTTTTGAAGTCATGCCTCCAAGCAGTTTTAATTTTTCTAGCAGTTTGGTGACATTTTTGGCTTGTTGTTGTGGCAAATATCCACATTGTTTGCTCTTGAAGAATGAAACCATTTAAAGACAGTTGAATTAATAATCTTTATTTCATAGCTTTTGCATTTATTACTATAACAGTCTTTAGGTTTTTGTATTTCTTTACATTTGAATAGTTCTCCAATTTGTAATTTTTCTAATTAAAAATGTTTTATATACTTGGTTTATCTTTTTTTCCCCCTTCATTGTTTATTATTTTTTTCTAACACCAGTCTTTTGGATTTAGATGTCATGATGAATATTCAATTAAATTTTGAATGAAACCATGTACACTGCTGCTCGTTAAAATTGCAACACCAGGAAGGAATGATATGACAAACGTCAAAATCGCATGAAAGGAAGAAAAGGTTGGGATATGCAAATGATTAGTGTTTCAGCGTATTTGAAAGCAATGCAGGAGAGAGAAATGATATCTCTGAAGCATTGCATAAAAGAAAAGTTGTATAGTGCTTTCTGATTTGGAAAGAACTTTGTAAGGTCGGAGTTTGCCTCGAATAATAAGAAGAAAGGCTTACCAGCAAGTGTCAGAATTTGATAGAAGTAGGATCGTTGCCTGTTTAGTGACATTGCCTGTTGCGCTGGTCGATTTCAAGCCACGTCATGTGAGTATAAAATCAATGAGTTGCTGAGGGTCATACTGAACAGCATGCAGGATCTCGATGCTCACCCATAACTAATGGCTGAGAGGGCAGACATATTATGAGGTCAGCCGTGCAAAACCGTATAATCATATCACGGACCATTAGTCAGGACAAGGGCATGTTTGCAGCACATCCAGTATCTGCTTGTATTGTGCATCGACATTCGTTGTGATGGTTTGGACAGCCATTGGGTGCGTGACACGTACATCTCTAGTTTGGATCAACAGTAATTTGAGCGCAGATTAGTACATTTCTGACATCTTATGTCCAGTTGTTGTGTCCCATCTTTGAGGCCTGTCAAATGCCATCTTCCAACAAGATAATGCAAGACCACAAGTTGCACGCCATGTTCTGAATTTCCTTGACCAATTGCTGCCCTGGCCTGCACAGTATCCAGATCTGTCACCCATTGAAAACATCCGGTCATTGGTAGCTGAGAGACTGGCCCGCCACCTCTTTCCAGAATACGGTTGATGAAGTGTGGCATAAGCAGAATGGAATAAGTTGCCCGTTTCTTTCATCCAAGCCCAGTTTGATTCCATGCCTTACCGGGTAAGGGCCGTTTTAGCTGCCAGGTGTGGCAACTATTTCTGTTAATTTTGCATCCCTGTAAACAGCAAAATGCTTTCAAATTTTCTTCAGACCATACTGTTTACATACAATAAATATAATTTTTATATGTGCTTTCCTTCATGGTGTTGTAATTTTAATGGCCAGCAATGTAGATACGTCGTTATTTTCATCAATATATTAATGAATTCAGTGAAAGGGTGGAAATAAATATCTGTGCTTAATGATACGTGGTATCTTGGGTACTCTTCTGTTATTGGGACAAGATTCAGGAGTGTATGTACATACATACATGCATGCATACATATATACATTTTTGAATAACCTGATAACAGAACAATATCATGTATCTTCTAAGAATAGAATCATGTATCTTCTAAGAATAGACTGTTGCACCACACACTTGATAAGAATTGTCCAAAATCAGTGGAAGACCATAAAAGGCTCTTGTCATATACACCATAATTTACAGAACTCAAGATCAACAACTATTAACAAATACTTCAGTTAGTTAACTAATTCTGTTTATAAATTTCCGTACATTATTTACAACTCTGTAATTTTCCAGCCTTCTGCTTGATTCAGATTTCATAGTATTCCTATCTATAATCTGAATTCTGTGCTTCTCTCATTGGAATAATTGTGTCATAGAAGACTTCTTTTAGGCATTTTTTTCTTTTGGTTCAGATTACTGATCTCTGACAAAAATTTTAGATCAGCAGTTTCCTCTGCTGTCAGGAATGTTTGTGATCAAGGAGTAAAACACATTATTGGCCTTTTTCAAGGGTCTGTGTTTTCAGGAATTGTCCATTAAAGTGGATGCCCACTAATGGAAGTTTGATTGTATTTTAGAAATTTTTTAATATTGTGTATCAATACTGATAATTTTATAAGCATTGTTCTTGAATTTTATTTTGAGAAAATGATTTATGGTTAAGATTTCATATCTGAAATAATACTTATTTAAGCAGCATTATATTGTAAATGAGATTTCTTGCATTGCTTTTGTTACTTAGATTTTTTTTTTTTTTTTTTCTTAAAAATTTCTTATTTATTCTGTAGCAAGTAGAAGTTGATGGTCAGCAATGTATGTTAGAAATCCTTGACACTGCAGGCACAGTAAGTAACAGTTTTGTGTTATTTGATTTCTGTTAATAAATTATATTTGTGCATTCTGTTAATGTTTTAATTGTGCAATTTTCAGAATGTAAAGGAGAACATGTATATAAATTTTGTCACTGTTCCGATGATTTTTACGACTTGAGTTAATATTCTTTTCTGGATGGGGATCTTAATATTTTGTTCCTTGTCCTAGTTTTAAGAAACAGAAAACTGTTATGTCCAAACAGTTCTGAGTCCTTTTTGATATAGAAAATTCAATAATTATTATGATATTATACAAGGTTAAAAAGTGTTAGATTAGCATAGATTTTTAATAAAACTGATGTAATTCCTCTTTGAGTTTTATTTAAAACCTGTCAGAGACTATGATGTATTAATTTGCCCAACTTTGTATCAAGCATGTTTTTAAAGTAAGTACCATTTTGAAATTCCGATGCATCAGCACCATTGCGGCTGGCATTCTGCACATGTGTGCTGTTTACCTACATTTGTTATCAGGTCACAGACACCATTACGGGTACTGTCGACTGTGCTGACGTTTATTTTTGAGTATTTACCATGTCTCCGACGATTAAGAATCCTGGCAACTGTTAAATACAGTTGGTGATTCACTTTCTTATTGCTAAAGACATGAAAACATTGAAATTCACTATCAGATTAGTAAAATATACAAAATCTATAGTTGAATGTATCCAAGCAAATTTAGAAAAAGTAGTAGATGAACTTGATAAATTTGTATCACAGAGCTACGATGGTGCAAGTGTAATAATGAGTGGTCAACGTGCTGCTGATCAAGCTGTTGTTTAACATTTTTTTACAAGAATACAAAATTTGTGCATTGCTACACACATTAGCCGAGTTTGATTGTTGGGCTGGCAACCAGTCATCAGCAAGTTCCAAGTATTTTTTCCCAACCTAAGTGATATTATAAACTTTTTCAGTAACTTTCCACAGAGAATTGCCGTTCTAGATGAAACTATTAGAAAAAGGATACCCAGTGGTTCAGCTACTAGATGGAATTTTATGAGTTGAACTATCAATAGTGTTTGAATATAGGAAGCAGTTTATTGAAATCAAACCTAGATTTATTTTTCCTTTCTCCTCCTGGCTAAAATTGAGTTTTTTATTTAAATTTTCTTTTTTGTTTTCTTTAGATGCCCAGACTGCATCCTAAATATTTATAAAAATATACATGAATAATGCTGAAACAAAAGAAAAAACATTTCAAATTTTTAATTATTTTTTTATCTGAAAATTAAAATTTGACACGTGCAAGAAATTTATATAAGTTATGCTTTGTAACTCAAACATATTCATAGTTAATTTTTTAGACTGGTAATTATTTTAAATGATTTTAATTTGTTGAGATTACTATATATATAGCTCAAAACAAATTTTGAAACCACTCAAAACCAAGTTAAAATATTGCTAAGGTCAGAGCTTTTACTGGCAGCCATTTTTTTTTTAATATTCCCACCTCCCAATAGCGGGCACTTGCGTATAACGGCATTGGCCACTGCTAAAGTCAGAAGGGGTGTCCATTTTATTGTGGAGGCTCTGACAGGCGGCCACCGCTACCATCTTATGAAGGGACAGACAATTTTACGTCTTTGCCTTCTCCAGGATTCGAACACGGGCCCTTTGGTCAGTCAGGCTTCCGTAACCACTATACCGTCTGGGCGGCAATATTTTGAATTTCTGTATAATATTCCATCGAATGATATTTAAACATTTCATTCTGTCAGATTCTAATTTACTGCTAGTAAAATTACTTGTAAAGAGCATCTGACAAGTATCACTGTTTTAATGTAATGCTTGTGTCTGTATTTGCAGTAATGTCAGTAAGGAAATATTTCAGTGATCAGTACGAGAGTTAATTGAATCTAGTAGATTTTTAAAGTATTTAACCATTACTAAGATAAATTTTATACTATAATTTTATTGAAAATATCTCATTCTCTATGCAGTACCTTATTTTTAGTTTTTCTTTTTTTTTAATGCTAGATTTTTAACTCTTCTCGTGCTGAACATGCCTTGCAAACACTTTTTTGAGGTAATGTTGAAGATAAACATGCAAATGTAACCTTAGTTTTGCATATGTTTTGAATAAAAGTATTGATTTCAGGGCAATCAGACATAAGTACTTTTATCTTCGTATGCAAAAAGATTTTTGCTTTTGAGGAACAACCTAATCCTGAATGTCTGTAAAAGAGAAAAAGACTAATCTGTCCTAAACTAAGATTGCCTTTTTTTGTTTAATTTCATGCTTTTTTGTGCAATTTACAATTTAATTCTAGGAATTCCCATGATTCAAGCACATACTACCAGTGTGTAGTGAATTATTCAGCTTTTAGTTACAAAATTGTTATACTGCCTTTTTTCTTGTGAAGGGGGTTTTGCTGTTTTGCTGAAGAACTATGTATCAAAATGTTAACAATACTTTTCACAACTTTTTTGCAACATTGATTGATTTTTAAAAGATGTCAATAAAGTTATTACTCACAGATTTAAGAGCATATTTACCAAATGGACCTATATAGAGTATAATTAAATTATTGTATATATATATATATATATTTTTTTTGTGTAAAATATTTTTCAATTCAAGTTTATTTTAATCATAGTTTATAAATTTTCATAATTTGATTTGACAGTTAATTTTTGTAGTCAATTTGAAAAATGAATTAAGAAAAATAAGTTGCACCATTTTATTTGTACCTATTTTCTGTATAACTAAAATATTTTTATGTTGTACTTATAGGAACAGTTCACTGCCATGCGGGACTTGTATATGAAAAACGGCCAGGGATTTGTACTTGTCTATTCTATAACAGCTCAATCCACGTTCAATGACTTGCAAGATTTAAGGGAACAAATATTAAGAGTAAAGGACACAGATGATGTAGGTTTTCTTTTTTTATATGTATTAAAAAATGCGATTTTAGAATGACATTTTTGTTAGAAAATTAAATATATTGATTGTGGGAATTCATGTGTTGATATTTTAGGCATTGCATTTTTTGGCAATTTAGCCACTGTACTTAATTGGCTTAGATGTAAATTTTGCATTCCTCCTCTATTTTATGTTTTTAGATGTGTGCTGATTTCTCTCCCCTCATTTCATTGCACTGTTATTATAAATTGTAACTGTTAGTTATGTTTAGATGCATAAATACTTCATATAAAAGAATCATTGGGGCAAAACTTCATTTCTCAAATAAAATAAGATTCTCCAAGGAATACTAGAGTAACTAGAGCTCATATCCATATTAAGATTTCTCTACATATACAGATGTGTGACTGATGAAGGAATGCTTTATTATTATCACCAAAAATAGTATATTTAATCTTTAGTTTGTAATTTGTTTATTTATATAAGCTTGTCAAAAATGATTGAAATTTACTTGTACCCAGTAACTATTCTTTTTTTTGGGGGGGGAGGGGGGGAGCTTGACCCGTTATTTAGCATTGCATTGACTCAGATTTTTCTACCTTTCTGCAAAAACAACTGGCTTTGAATCCAGCTAACTGCATGACTGGTTTTTGTAGATTCCCGCATGTGTAACATAAATATAAACTAGTTTTTTAGAGAAAGTACTCCAGGAAGGCATCCCTTCCCATAGGCCTCATATGAGTTGCCATACTTGAACAACTTTCTGCAAAGATATTGCACCTTTATCGTTATATCCATTGCAAGAAACTATGTATTACCTTTAGTCCTCTAGTCATAAAATTGTGTTCAGCAAGAAAGGATTACTTCTTCTTTTATCAGAGATTAGTTTTTTTAAGTCAATTTTCTTTCCTCGAAGGCTCAGAAATGCTAATCATTTCTTTTTCCATTACATGTAGTCTTTTGTGAAACAGGCAATGTTAGTATATTTCCCCAGAATGTTCTCGAAGACAGGTCAAAAGCTCTAAATACCTTGCCTGTAGGCAGAGTAGCAGTGTATCTCGAATTTATTGTGAAGAGTATCTTTGAGTGTGTTGAGTTCAGTAGTAGTGCTTTGAATTCAAAGATTAGCTTGAGAGCAACCGAACCGAGTTGGAAGATGTACTTTAGTGCTTTGCCATGAAATTGTCTTCACCGTTATAGCCTGAAGACTGTGTTGCTGATTGCATCTTTGGAACTGCCATGTGTAATACTGACGATGGATAATTGTGTTTTGATTCTTCATCAAGTGTTGTCATCAATCACTCCAAATCTACGAACCCGTAGAATGAAACTTAATAACTCTGATATCACTCTAATATATAAATATTACTTTGATAAATAAATATTACTCTGACTGAAGTAATTTATTTTCTGCGATATTACACATTTTGAAGTAAAGTGACTTCACTGCGTGGCAGTAATCAAATTTTAAATTAAAGTATATGCTAGTACATTATAACTTTGTAATGTGGTCCAGGATTCAAATCCAGGCAAATGGGCTGTTTGCATGGGTGTTTTCTTGATTTTCCCTGTGTGTAACAGGGATGCGGGCCCGTTTCCATTAAAAGTCATGCATGGCTTATCCCTTCCTTTTGTGGATACCATTGTAAGTCGCCGTAATAACTTAAGGGAGGAAAAAAAAAATTAGTGTAACCCAGCTTTAATGCGAAGTCATGTGGTCCTTTATTTTTTGTATTTTACATAGTTATGTTTATAAATGATTTTCATTTGAAACTGTAATTCAGAAAATGGGGATAAACAAAACATTACTCTGCATGTATATTAAAAACCAATTTTGAAGAAATATGTATCAAAACATAATTTAAGTGCTAAATGCTTTAAAACTGCTCTTTCATCTTCAAAAGTAGTTCTTTTGTTATATGTATTTATAGGCAGTGCACTTTTACATTTATAAGCACAGTGCATGGTTTTATCCTTTAAAACATAAAAATCAAAGAACAGAGTTTTATATGTTTTATTTCCCCCTAATTTAAGTCGACAAATGTTTTAGATGTGTTAGCATACAAGTTTATATTTTACAAAGCAGTTAGCATCAAAGTAGCTGTTTTATGTAGTATATCTATTTTAATACTGTTTTGTATTTTATACATAAAAATATTCATTACATACTTTCTTCTAAATAAATGTGTTTTAATCCTTTGATCCTATTATCTTGACTAAAATTCATAAGCATTTATTCGCAGTTAAATTAGATTCCATTTTACATACTTTTCATAATTCCCAATTATCATGTAACTTAGGAGCATTACTGTAACTAATGTAAAATGAAATATAGCTTTGCACAGAGATAATTTTGGAGGAATTATATTTTAAATTTAACTGTAATTTTATACATAATTAAGAAACATGCTTTGTTTTATTAATAGTGTCATAAATTATGAATACCAAGTCTATTATGATGCAGGAAATTTCTAATTTTCCTTTCACACCATGCTAAACATAATAATTATCATTTAAAACTACATTATGAAAATAAGTGAGACATTTATTTTTAATATATGGATAAACTGCACTGCTGTCTTTGTATTACATAATTTGGCAGTGCTTGAACTTGTTTGAAAATTTTGGGGTGATTCATTGCACAGGGTTTCTGAAATGTGCTTTTATCTTAGCTCTTCCATCAATTTAAGAATACATTCTGTTTTGTTTATCTCTGTTGTTTCTTTAAAAACTGCTCAAACATTTTTATTTGGAAGATCTAAGAGATTGGCAACTTTGTAGTTGTGTTGTGCCAAACCAATCTACTAATATGATTTTGGATGCTGTACAGTAAATTTGAAACAAGTACATTTGAAACAATTTGATTCCTGCAGCAGTGCATGCAGATTTAGGGACAAGATTAGAGATTTAGAATTTTATTATATATTAATTATTTATCATTTAAAGATATTTGTAAACATAAAATAAACCAAAAATATAAGTATTAATTTATCATAAATAAAAAATTAAAATTTTACATATATTATGTATCTTTTAAACATATTTATTAAAATAAAAAATAAGCAACATAAAATATAAATATTCCTTCAATATACTTAAATAAAAATTCAATTTTAGTGCGAACCTTGTGCCTGTACCATTCTATTTAATATAGCAATATTAGGGTTATAATTTGTGGCTTTCAATTTAACACATGGTTCTGAATATTTAGTTGTTAAATAACTTCTTTATGGACTTAAAATATTTTTCCTACGAGGAAAGATTTGTTCATATAGATATGTGGAACCAAAAGCAGCGCACATGCAATTTTCTCCAAATAATCAAATTCATCTGGACATTGACATTCAGCTGTTTAAAATAGCTGTAGGTTTGGTATTAGAGTTATTGTCCAGATTTTTTCGTAATTCCATAAATTTTGCTTTCCCTAATTCTCAAGATGTTAGTTTAGGAAGTTCAATTTCAAAATTATTAACTTCCATCCACTCAAAAATTGACAAATCGGATGGGTTTGTTAATGGGTCTATCAGATCTAGTTTGATTAGGAAGGAAAATATAGGCATACAAGCTTCAAAGTCTGCATCTTTTGGAACATTCATCCTGAAGCAACATAGCTTTGAAGTTTACCATTATCTCAGGTTGATATATTTGGAAGAGCTTTATGTTTAGGAAGTATTATTAGGCACTTTAATTAATATCACAGTAAAATATATTAAATTTTGTAGCAAAGCCTTTCTGGTATTCAAAATGTTCAAGCACTGTTTGGCTATTTCTTTGCAATCTTTAGTTCATTGAGGTGTTTAGTCATATCAGTTCGAAACATCAGTTTGCATAACCATTCTTTATTGTTCAGTTTAGGGAAATATTGATTCTTCTCATTAAGAAAAACTTGAGGGTATTCCATGCATGACACAAACTTATTCAAGACATTACCTCAACTAAGTCATTAAACACATTAAACATGGTTGTTTTAGGGGAGATCAACATATTCGCTTTCCATTTCTTTGCAAAGAGGTTTAAAGAATGTACCAATGAAGAACTAGAAATACTTTTAAAGAGTGCACCAATGAAGAACAAGAAACTATGAAACTAACTATTTTAACAACAGGGTTCATTCCAGGAATTAAACACTGTGACAAAATTTTGACAACTAAATTTTCCTGATCGCAGAGAGAAGAGATAGGGTGATTTATCTTTGCCTGATAACTTTGTAAGAGTGGTGTAGAGTGCCTGAGGGTCACGATTGTACCGCATGCCAAATCTGACACACATGTTGTAGGTTGCTGACGCCTGATCTAAGATACTGAAGAAAGCAAGCATTGGCTAACTTTGTGATGCAGCCTTTACAAAAAAAAATTGATCTGTTTGGTTTGCAGCATTAGTATAAAACTTGGTGAAATTCTGAAAATATGTAAGATAGTCATGAAAGTATTCTAAGTATGAATGGGCATAATTCATATCCTAATGTTATTTGGGTACTGAACCTTGAGGAGTGGAAGTCACAGAAGTTAGAAATAAAGTGCTTCACCTGCTGGTGAACTGCTATGGCAATTCTAATTATATAGTGTTGTAGAAAATACTTACCTTGATTTTTATTAAATTTGATTCAAGAAAGGATTTTTAATATTTAAGAAAATTTTTAAAATCTTTAATGTCCTAAAGCATTGAGAAAAAGTGAAGAAATATATTTTAAGTCATAATGGCTCACTTAAATAAACTAGTATTATCACTGATGCCAGCACTTTGATAAATTAAAATAGCAAAAACAAGTTTATTAAAGCTTAACTGGCTGAAGGCAGTTTGTGTTAGAATTGATAAATGCAGCCAAACTGACCTCTGGTATAGAACAATAGCATTGATGAAAATTATATTATTAAAAAAACAAAGAAAAAGAAATTCTGCCTTTGTAATTGAAATCACACCATGAAATCTGTGAGAATTATTGTTTTTCTGTAACAAAGCTGTGCTTGATTCAGTTATTAATATTGTATAAATAAATACAAGCTAAATATAAAAAAAGTCAATTTAAGAAAAATCAGTACATCACTAACAATAATATATTTATATATGTATATTCAGAAATGTTTCATCTAAAACAAATTGCCTTGATGTAGAAAAACTAATTATGTATTTGAAATCAACGGGTGCTGATCCTATGTTCGCATAAGTTTATTCTATGGTTATTTTTCAGTGATAGGTATTATCCGTTTAGGGTAACTTGAAAACGATATGGTTTTAAACATGCAGTGTGAGAAAATATCTGAATATATAATGTGAAAGAAATTCTAGAAAAATGCAAGGTTTTAAAATATTTAAATTTCTCGTTTTAAGCATGTATATTTTTAGATCTTATTTTTGTAAAAAATGTAAATGGACTTATACATTGAACAAAACTATTTGTTTTCACATTTTACTGCAAAATAATGCATGTTAGAGTTAAATGCATATTTGAAATTTGATCGAGTTTGTTGAATGACATCTTGTTATTTATTTATAATGTTTTATGCAAAAACTTTTTTGTCCTTTGAAAGCTAATGTCAAATAATTTTTAGGTGTGTGTTGTTAGTTTTCAGCCTGTATATTTTGAGAATGAAGAAATATTGATTGCTGTGGAAGTTTAAATTTATACGAGCTATTCAGAAAATGTTAACACAGTAAGAATAAGCGAATACAAATATTTTGTGCACTTTTTTAAGTAACATATTTTTACACTTAAAAAATGTTAAGAATTTTTAAAAGTCTTGATTTTGTTCTTATTTTTTACAATGTTGCAGTTTTCATTGACAGCAATTTTGTTAAAAAACATTGCATAATAATTTTCCTGTTAGAAGCAGCAGCACATATTTGTGTTTTTTCAGTTTTTCAACTGCTTGTCTGATCATTAATCAAAATTCTCTTTTCAAAATATTTCAAGGTAACTTCAGTCATAAAATTAATTTTCATTTGAGATTAAAAATCTTCAAATTCTAACTGTCCTCAAAGGTTTTGGCAAGTTAAAATCGTGCTCGAAAAGGTCTCTGAATCATTAATTAATTTTGAAAAGATAGTAAACATAAACTATATTATTAGATAAGCAGCTTTTGAAGAGCTCAAGGGAGATGTACTTCTGATTTCATAAATATACCACCATAGCCACAATGCCATAAATCTAAGCTTTGTTAGCTTCTTTAATATTTTATTCACCTTTAAAACTAGCATTACACCGACGATGTGTGTGTTTTGGTATTATAATAGGCATCTTTATTGCCAAAATGCATTCACACTTTATTCACATTATAAAAAGAAAAAATTACCAATCGTGTAAAAGCCAAAAACCATAAGATAAAATATCTTCAGAACTCCTGTCTCTTAAACTTATCCTTCAGTGTCTGTCCACTTCAGCATCATTAAAAGGCTGTTTATGCTTATAAATTTTTGGCAGTTACTGTTGTTCTGAATATTTTATTCTGAAAATCTTTTTAAACTTTTCTTACTGTTGCTATTTACCATTTTGGGGACTCTGTCTTGCTGTGACCATGCACTTGAAAGCCATTGGATTACACTACTGATTATTTTATTGAAATCTGTCATCTTATTGCTTGCATTATTTGTTAGTGGATTTCATTTTAAGACATTACTGAAACCAGAAATATACTACCTTTCATCAAAAGGCAAATATCAGTGTGGAATGAAAATATTTGCCTGTTATAAATATTTAAAGCCAGTAGTGATAACTACTACATCCGGTTTAAAGAGGTTTCAGTTTTGATCATGCCAGAGAGGTAAGACCAGTTTTAAAATGTACCTATATAGTCTCTTGAGGGTAAAACAGCAGTGTGCACAAATTTGGGCCAAGTGCATTAAGTTAAACATCAATTTAAAAAAATAATATTTAAAGGAAATTTATAAAAATATTTCTTCTACTTGATCTTTACAATATAATTTTCATGAGTAGCTCTGATTGAACTTTTTTGCTTTGCAGGTACCGATGATACTAGTGGGTAACAAATGCGATTTGGAAGACGAACGTGTTGTGGGCAAAGATCAAGGTGCTAATCTAGCCAGGTCGTTCAATAACTGTGCATTCTTGGAATCATCTGCTAAAGCAAAGATAAATGTTTGTGAGGTGGGAGAAAAGTATATTTTATAGATATTTTAAGGAATTATACATACATGTGTACATGCAGTGTTTAGTGATTATCAGAATTATCTCAGTTTTTTAATATTTCATTTGCATATTGATTTGAATAGTTTATTGTTTTAATTTTTTTTATGAAAGAACTTATCTAGTCTATGATGCTTTGAGAAAATGAACTTTAAAAGGTCTTTTGAAGAATTATCTTCTAGCCTTGTAAACTTAACAGAGATCAGAAGAAGGATGTATAAATGTACTTTATTTAATCGTAAAATTAACAAATGAATCAACTTGGGTTACAAGAAGCCAACACTTCTGGCTTAACAGAAATACTTAACAAATAACAATTTCAAGGTGTGTAGGTTAGCCAAACGGCTTATAAAGTACTTTTAATGCGCAGGAAGAGCTCTTGTCTAACTTAACTAAGCCTAAAGGCAAGAACATATCAATGCTGCCTGAAATAGGCAGACACGGTCTAAAAACTAATTCAAAAAATTTTTGCTTAAATAGCACTTCTTTCTACCTTAAACTGAAAAAAAATCTCGCTAACTCATTTACATTCTGGCATAAAGCGTGGTTGAAAAGAGAGTGATAGGAAAGGCTTTTCGCTTAAAATGAACTATTAGTTAATGGGTAAACCTAACATCCTTCCCTGCCGGAATTTAAGTACACGAAAAAGAGGTCCTTAACAACCTCATTAAGAGCTTAAATTCTAACTGTCTAAACTACCTAACCTTACCAGAACCCAACTTTTACAATCAGATTAGATTTTTGAGTAATTAAAAATTCAGAATTTGTATTTTCCAGAATCTTGTTTTTCTTCTTGGCAAGCACAAAATTTCAGCTGCTCACATCCTAAGACTTGAGAAAAAGTTCTACAAACATGATATAAACTTTTCACATCTTTTCATTAATTTGCTTTGTACTTTCATGCTACACATTTATTCCACAATTAAATCTCTTCTGCCATGCTCTGCAGAGAAATTGGAGTGTATAAATGAAAACAGTATCTTTTGTAAATGTGTTTACAAACACTACCGACTAACTACAATCTTCCAGTTAATAGAATTTAATACACGAGACCTCAAGGACTCCCTGTTTATAAAACTGCACCTAATTTGCTAAAGAGAGCGTGGTTTAAACTTTTAATTGTTGTCTAGAGAGCCTAACTTACTCAAGCACACAACTAAATTTACTTTTAAGTTTCTTGATTTGCAAGTTTACAATTGCATTTCATTTATACAATATTTTCAAATACTTTTCCACAATAAGATAAAATACATTAAATAACTATTTACAATAAAATTCAACTTGCATTTTATACCAAAATTCACAAGTTGCTTTAAATTCTGATTCACAAGCTGCTTTGAAATTCTTTGAACATTTGCACTTGCATTTTCTGATAGCAGTATCTTGGACTAAAATACATTGATATAAACATAGAAAAGTGCAGTTTAACTTCCGAGCCATTTCGCTCATTAAAGGAACTAAAATAACCTCACTTTAGCCTCACTTCCTTCAAGTCGTCGTTGAGCTTCTTTTTTCTTGCTACCTCCCAGAACCTTGGCCATTTCTTGTGAAGCTTTGGATCTGGTGGTTGAATCCCTTGTTTTCGTTTTGCTGAACTTTCCGCTCGAACTTCCCTCTTTCAATCATGCAGTTGGCCACATTGGATTTTCCTTGGCGCTTCTGCAGTTTGGTCGGCTAGACCTTTATTTCTTAGATGACTTAATATGGAATCCTCTCTGGACTTTGTGGCTTCTTTCCGTTGTTTTCCTGTCTCTTGTAGCTCGTCTGACGGCTGCCATTGTTTCCTGGAATCGCTGCCTGTTGGCTCCTTTGGCTTTCTTGTTTCTGTTTGGTTTTTTGGTTTGTTCATGCGTTGTACCTGTTCGTTGCCTTCTTTTTGGCTCCGGCATTTCAGCTTCCATTTGATTTTGCTGGGTGTTGCTGCTGCTGCTGGTGGCATCTTGATTTTCTTGCAGAATACTTTTAAATATCTTCGTTTTTTCCCTATTATAATTAGGTTTAATTTGATCCACATTTGCCATTACTTGTTCCCCATCTCTACTTTTCAAGTAGACTATGGCTTCTGTAACTCTTTCGACTAAATATCTTTCCTGAAACGTGGGACAAAATTTGGCAACTCTCTCATCACTTGCCGATGATTGGGTGTGTTTTATTTTTAGCACCTAGTCTCCGATTTGATAATTTACTTCTGTTTGCCTCATATTGTAATATTTCTTCTGTTTTCCCCTTGTACTATCTAAACATTCAACTGCTTCATCCATTAATTTCTGCATACCTTTCATTTGGAATTCCAAAGTTCTCATCTGCACAAAAAATAATTTGTCCAACAGTGTCATTAACTTTCAGCTTAAGAATAACTCAGCTGAGCTTTTTCCCATAGTATCATGCTTTGCTCCACAGTGTCTCGAGACTCGAATCCGATCATCGTGATGTTGCAGATAGAATCGTGACTTGTCAATGAAGACAATTTCATTCCATTCTGCCGTCCACATCCTTTTTTCATCGCACTATTAGTGGCAGAGACGTCTGTGGTTCTGCATCAAGGGTAGACGAAGCAATGGACGTCTTACGGACAGACCACTTTGCTGTAAATGGCGTCGAATGGTACACGCAGACACTGTATGATGTGTTACAGACTGAATGTGCTGTACTATGGTTAGTGATGTGACTGAGCGGTCTGTTACTGCCATGCACACAATGTTCCTGTCATCACGTGAAGTGGGACACTGAGGTGGATGTGATCGAACACATTGGTCCGTTGTGCCCTCCTGCATCCAACAGTCACGTATCCAAATTACAGTTGTTTGGTTTCATCCAACACGATTACCGATTTCCCTGAAAGATAATCCACACTCTCGGTAGGCCACTATCATTCCTCTGTCGAACTCGGATACTTGATCAAATGATGATCGCAGTTTACTACGAGGCATAATTGATCACTTTTTTGAAAAAACCACAAGAAAAACACAATTGCTGAACTTGAAATCATCGAAAACTCCAAGCCTTTTAAGAGCGCTTTGAAGTGGCGCCACAGGCGCACTTGATGTGTGTCTGCACTGAAATTCTAATCATTTGCATATCTCACCTTCGCTAATGCATGTTGTAAATTTCATGTTATTTGTATGCTTCCTTTAGGGTGTTGCATTTACGGTGTCCAGCAGTTTACTTTCTACATTTTAATGATTCTTTTGCTTGATCTAGTTATTTTAGTATAAGTTTTTAATGCTAGTATTAAATATTTAATTGTTCAAATTTTTTAAACTTGATTGCAGTTTAACTGAATATAATGGGTGACTCAAAAGTCAGTTAACAGTTGAAAATTCAGTACTTTACGGAATAATGTAGGTAGAGAGGTAAAAATTGAGCACATGCTTGAAATGGCATGGATTTTATATTGGGGGGGGGAAGCCAACATATGGCACTGGGCAGCAAAATGTAAGTGGCTCTGCATGAGAATGCTGTATGAAATGAGCTGTAGTGAGAGAAAGAATCAGTCCCTTCATGACTTTTGTCACTTTTCTAGCCTCACCTCTGGGTTTTGGTTATGGTTGGATGTGGATTTATCAAATAAGTTGTGATCTAATACTTTTTCTTTGATGAAATGCATGGTTTTTGCTATTCAAACTGCCAGTGTGACAGTTGCGAGGTATGCTGATACTTTAGAGAATCGCATCATCCCTAGTGTGGTTGATAAACACCTGTTGGAAGGTATGACTTTTATGCAGGATGGCATCCATCCCATATTGCTACAAGTGTGAAAGATCTATTGCACACATCGTTTGGTGAGGATCGCGTGCTGAGCCGCCACTTCCATCATGCTTGGCATCTCAGGTCTCAACTCTCAAACCCATATGATTATTGGTTGTGGGGTTACCTGAAATTGCAAGTTTGCAGCGATTGTCTGACATCATAAGGGGTCCTAAAAGCAACATCCGATGGCAGTTCTGCACTGTGCTATTCACAGTGTTGTTCCTCAAGTACAGATATTGTTGATTATTGATGGCAGACATGTTGAAATTTTGTTATAAAGAACATGGTCTTTGCTAAAATTCAATCGTTATGCTAATTATTGCTTTTGTTATATGAAGTGCCATCTGTTGGCTGTTTTAAGCACTTTTTTTTTCTTGCTTTCAGTAAAACTCCACAACATTTCAAGCATGTATGTCAGTTTTTATATCTACCTACATTATTCAGTGAGTTTTTGAATTTTCAAATGTTACAGACTTTTGGGTCACCTGATACAAATGTGCTAAGTATAGAATGATTGTTGCATTCATCAAATATCATAAAAGAATGTTTTTCTGAATTATTACTATATGTAAGAGGAATTAATGTTTTTATCTGCCGGTTACATTGAAATGGTGTGATCAGTATGGTCAATTTTAATTTCCTATGTCTAAATGCAGATTTTTAGGTATTTCTTGTGGAAATGAATGAGCATACTTTGACTAGTATCTTGTAATGATGAATGCATAAAATCTGCTTGGTGACTGAAAATGATATAAGTCTATATGTGGCTAATTTTTCTTGACACTGTCTGTTACATTATCAAATACAGATTGTAGTGGATTTTATAATAACTTGAAACTAAAAATAGAATTGATTCATTCATTTGATTACTAGGAAAAAATTGAAATATGATGGGCATTTATATAGAGTATTAATATTTTACTGTATAAAATTATGATTCTTTCATGTTTCAAGTACTAAATATTTAAAAAAACTTTTGCATTGTACTTTTCTTGCCTTTTTTAAATTCCTACTATTAGCTCACACTCTTCCTATATTTTATTCAAATTTTCAGTCGTTAATAAAATACTTTTTATTCATACACTCAGGTTCAAATACATTTTTTTGAACTTGTAGTGGATGACACTTGATGTTAATAATTTTTTTCACATATTTAAAGTTCTAGAATTTTTAATTAATTTTTTGTATTTAAAAAATTTCTTTTTGTTAACCTAAGTAGGAATTAACTTAAAAAATTTTATTTAACTAATTATTAATTAATTTTCATTCGTTAATAAAATACTTTTTATTCATCCACTCAAGTTCCAATACATTTTTATAAATTTGTAGCAAATGACACTTGATAATAGTTTTTTCACATATTAATTTTTTTTTTGTATTTAAAAAATTTTTCTTTGTTGACCTGTAGGAATTAAAATTCAATTTTTTTTTATATATAACTTGTTTAAACTGCTTTTAAATATGAATGAATCTAAAAATCCTTCATAATATAAAAGATTAAACTAAATTTGACTTTTCTCATTATGCTCATTAAGGTTGAATGTTTGTGCTTTTTTAACATTTCATAGCCTCATATTTTTAGAATTTTATTTACTACAATTCATAAGAAAATCCAAAAAGATAGTTTTTGATAATAATATTGTGTATTGTTTTTATTAATGTATTTTATGTACTGTAGTTATAAAAAGCTGTTCTTAAATTAGACTATTGCATTTTACTTTTAATTTCAGATATTTTATGATCTGGTTCGGCAAATCAATAGAAAAAATCCAGAAAAAAAGCAGCATATCAAAAAGAAAAAGACGTGTTCAATTTTGTAAATATGTGAGTATTTTTAACTGCAGTTATTTTCATAAAATTTTACATTATCAGTTTTATACATTAATTTAAAATGTATTCATGCTTTCATGTGATTAAAGTATTAATCTATGAAACTGTAGATGGCTCTTAACGTAATTGCAGCAATAGTTATCTAATTCCTGAGGTCCTCTTGTTTTTGTGTACAAATAATGAAAAATTCATCATTTACTGTCATTAGCATTATATTGTTGGAAGTGCTCTTAAATAATAATAATAGGTACCTTTCCGTTTTGCCGGCGCAAGTGATAAAGTCGCCAGTAATGGTACAATTGATGCCAAACAGAATATCCTCGCTGGTAACCTTTTACACCTCACTTTCAAAACAAGTTGCAGCCATTTCTTATCAGATTGATTGTTTCTTTCAATACTGGCATACAATTACATAGAATTTTTACCAGATAGTTCAATTTTATGCCCTAAGGCCATTCGTGGTAATTAAGTCAATTAGGATGCAATCATACCGCTCACCCGAAGGTGAAAATATAGAAAAGGCAAAGTCAAGGGTTAAATTCATCAATTCTAATGAGAATGCACTAGCAAAGTAAAGCACTGCAGTTTTACTTAATTTCTGAGTAAGCTATTTGTACAAATTGAAATAATTCTTGCATTTAAAAAATTAATGTACATAATTACTGAGAGAATTGGTCTTTTGTAACGTAGTTTATGTGAGATGAGATCACTTGGGGTCAAGTGATATGAACCGGCAAATCAGGATGTTGAACCATGAAAGCATAGTACATTCTTAAACTAATGCCTTTTTAGAAATTTATTGTCTTTACTTATTGGCTTTTTACAAAATTTTAAACGATATTAAAATGTTTATACCTTCAAAATAAAAAATTCTTAGAACTAACATTTGCTAACATTTTTTGTTTGTGTATATTGTATGTTGTCGCCAATAAAGTCTGCTTGGCGAGATTTGCGGCAGCGAAACGGAAAAGTATCTAATAATAATACTTTCTGGAATAAATCAGATTGTTTCAATCAATTTCTAATCGCGTTCTGGAATGGATCAAACCTATTATATGTGAAACTTTCAAAAAAAAAAAAAAAAAAAATATTAAATTTGGAAATTAATTTCTAGAACTATTTAGCTAATGCTGTAGTCCTAATTATAATTGCTGGGTGTAATAATTTAGAGTATAGTGCATAAATGTACTTTTGTGTAACAGTTGCAGACAACACTGTTAACCCTTTGATATACAAGAATGTCTTGGATGCGTCATTTATTATTGATTTCAAAACAGATTTTGGCATATCGTAAATGTCACGAAATTGTCATTAGTTTCATGTAAAATTTCCCATTTTTGTCACTTTTGAAAAATTAAATAAAATATTATGTAGCTACAAATTATTCTAACAAAATTAAACAAAATTGAAATTAATTTATATTTTGAAGTGCATCAACAATGAATTTTATGCATATGTTAAGGGTTATGTTGAGGCTTTTCCTAATTAAAAATCTTGCAAAAGTTAGCTGTTTTTTTCCTTGTATATATGTACAAAATTAATTAGATGCCTTTTAAATTTCTTCTCACTATATTATTACTACTTCTCACTACTTTTAAATTTCTTCTCACAGATATGATCACATTTAATGGCACCCAATATTTAAAACTCGATGATTGTACCAAGTTAATATTGTTACCTGTGAAATATTTTATTTTGTGTAATGATTCAGAATTTGCATAATGTGGAACAAAAATTAACACTGGAAGAATACTTTATGTGAAGCATAAATTTATATGGTTGGACTTTTTAAAAAAAATCTTGGTGTTTTCTCTGCTTTTTATGAATTAAATCAACCTAATTGAAAATTAATTTTTGGTGCAAAAGCATGCTTTGGCTCTAAAAAAAGGTATTATTATTGCAATTAAGAAAATGACTTTTTTCTGTTGAAAATTATAATTAAAAATATTTAATAATTAGTGAATTATGCTTTTAAGATTTGAATACAATATCTAAAATCATGCCCGAAATACTTAAATGAGGTTACTTTTTATACTAGTTATCTGATTCGCTGAATATAAGATTGTATTTCCTGTGTATTATAAAAGAGAAGCTGTCATAAAATATTATTATGTGAGTGTTATTAACAATATTTAAAGGTGTTGCATTATTTTACTATTACTGCAGTTTGTCATGTACAAAAGGCCTAGATATAATATAAAAATGGTAGATCCATTCTGAGCATTGTCAGTGCTGCAGGCTTGGTGTATAATACAGTCAAAAGTCTTTAATCCGGACTCGTCGGGACTTCAGCGATTCCGGATTATCGGTTTTTCCGGATTGTAGATCATCAATTTAAATCTTGTATTAAGATAAATTAAAAAATGAATGAAAATTAGTATTTAATTTTGAAGTATTTTTCTCTAATTGAAGTTTTCCCTAAAATTAGTACATGTAAGATGATTGGAAAGTCAATATTTGATAAAAATAAAAATTCATTGAAGGTCAGCATGTGACTTTTAGGCAAGAAACCTAAATGCTTTTTGATTTTTCTAATCATATTGAAAAATTTAGTTTTTATTTCAAATTTTACATGCATAAAACAAATAGAGTTTATTCATGAATATCATTAAATGAAAATAAATCTGTCAGTATTTACTATCTTTGAAAGTTAATTTTGAAAAGAGGAATTTTTTATTATTTTAAATATGGGTTTTAGTAATATTTTGTGGGTTTATTTGTCCAGGGATGAAGGATTTGAAGCCTATCCTTTTATCTTGAATTTCAAATGAAATCTAACATTTTTATACCTTAAACAAAAAAATATTTGAAAAATTTAAAAAAAAGTTTGTTATCATGACACAATACCAAACAAAATAATGGAAATTAATTATTATATTTTAATGGAAGTTAATTATTCATCGTTCTTTTGTCCCTTCTTCTTCTCTTGTGTATGTGTGTGCAAGTTCTTTCAGTCATTTCAGGCAGGGCATAAAAGAAAATTTATTTTGTCAGTGCAGATAAAATGTGTGTATCAGAGGCATTGTAAACAGTTTAACAACAGCGATTAGTCTTGTGTGCTTGAGTAGTTAATTTAAAATCACTTCTGTAGGCTAGATCTCTTACAGCAGTCAGTGTCATGTGTAGGAATAGCTCCAAACTAGTTTCAAGGGAAAATTAATTTTTCATCTTGTTCACTAATGTTGGAATACTATATTGAATGTATTATTTCATAACAGATGCTTGCTTAAATAAAAAATAAAAGAGCAAAAAGTTTGATGTTATTTTAACAACAGAATTAAATTATCGTTCATTAATAAATTTTGCAAGTCATTTCACATGTATTTTTATAGGAAAAGTATAAAGTGTTTATGCCTGGTAGTGAGATTACACTATCATAAGCAGATACATATTGAACATGATATCTGCGTAAATTTTTCTACATGTAAAACCGTCACCTAGAAAAATACTTTTTATAGTACCACAGCTTTTGAAGCCCAGTATGAGTACGTTGTCTGGTGCTTAGTGGAGCTAGCTACTATATTAGTTTACCGAGCGGTAAAGTCGCTGAACACTGGTAGTTCGGTCCAAGGTTCGAATCCCACGAACGGGCTGGCTGCATGGGTGTTTTCGTGGTTTTCCCCATTGTAAATGGTATAAGCCAGTTCTCCTTAGAAAGTCCTCCATGAAGGCATCCCTCCCCTTAGGCAGATAGCCCTTGAGGCTTTGCCATAATCACACACATGCATACTCTATCCCTTCTTCTGCATGTAATATTGGTCTTCTCCTATAGTGCATCCTGGTAATGTTCTTGGTAAAGAGAAAGTTCATCGACTGATGGGTTTTCATACCTGATGAAACTTAAAAAGCAAATATTTGGACATTGTATTTGGGGGAGGGTGAAATAATTTACTTTTTAATCGAAGGTGTAAAACTGTAGACTTTATCAAAGTTAAATTCATTATACAAGCAACTACGTTATTGTAACATTCTTAGTTTAATATATTCATCTTTTTAAACTTTCATGATATGCAGTAACTAAAATATTTGATCCCCCCTTCCTTAATGCATATGACTGATATCTTGCACAGAAAATACTTTGAATTTATTGATTCAATTTGCAAAGGAATTATTATATCTATTGGTTTATGTATTGAATAATAATTTTATTTCAATGCTTGAGGACATTAAGGTTTTGCAGTGTATAATACTCATATTCATAGTTTAATCAGTCTTTTTTAAAAAGTATTAGAAAATCTGTATTCAGTTATTATTATCATCCTGTATTCAGTTAGGTAACCTTAATATTTTTTTAAAATGAAAGACTGTTACTTACTATGATATCGTTCTATATTTGGGAAAGATTTTTTTTGTATATTATTGCATTTTTTACGGATTCGTGGAATTGAAGCGATTGACAACAACACTATGAAGTATCAAAACGCAATTTATTAGGCAGTATTACTCAGGACAGCTCCAGAAACACGTTTACAGTCATTGAGAAAGTACAACAAACGTGCTGAAACAATCAGCAACACAGCTTTCATGTTATCAGGCTGTATGAGTGAAGACAGCTTCATGGCAAAGCACTAGAGTACAATCCTGACTCGATTCATTCATTTTCGGAACTCGACGTGCTCTCAAGACTCCAAGCAACAACTCACAATGCACTTGACAGCCTCAATGATGCAACGGTCTTGATGTACTAACCTGCGATACACTCAATGATCAACTCGACAATAGACTAACGATCAACTCGATAGACTTGCGACACACTGCTACTCTGTGTACTGGCAGGGTTTATATAGCTTTTGGCCTGCGTTTGAGAACATTCTGGGCCAAATTGCAAGAACTCGTTCTATAAAGTTCTCCATCCACCTGTGGCATATCGCCAATTTTTTAGTCAAATGTTATCAAATGGAAGATTTTTAGTCAAATATGGCAACCCTGCATTTCCTTGTCATTGTGTGGCAACCTCAAACCTGCCTTGCAGGGAAGCTATCTTACCGCAGCTGCACAATTCGTAACTATATATTTAGACTATCAGTAACGAGGTTTCATAACATATAACTGCTTAGTCTTGAAAACTTATAAGGGTTCATTAAATGATAAACTGATTGGTAAAATAGGTTCATCATTTATAGGAAGAAAAAATTTCTTTAAATGGTAGTTATTCAGATTGTGTTTATGAAATACTTGAATTCTTTTAGTATTAGATTCAGAGTAAAAAGTAAAGAAATTTTGTTCTGCTAATTTAATGTGAAAAAATATGCTTGGAATAATGTATTATTTTGTTCTTGATTATAGATTGAATTTGAGACAGTTTTTTAAAAGGATTTAGTAAAAGTGGTGGATGACATTGTGATATCTCTTCTTATTTTTCTGAAAGATTTTAAATGGACATGGGTTTTTATATCTTGAATATTGATATTTACTTGAATTAGTGTTTTAAGCTTTTTTTTTTTTTTTTTTTAATTTATTTTTGTAATGTGAAATTTGGTATTAGATCTATCAAATAATTGGTGTGATAGTTTGAAACTTTAGAGAGAGCAAGTTAAAACGGTTTTAATGAAAGAGATTCTTCCTGTTCATGTTAAGCCTCCATTTTTTATAAAAAGTGATAATTTTTTTCATTTCAAAATATGCAAAATGATCTAATCACATCTGTCTGAAACTAAAAATTGACCCCTTTCCTTTTTTCATTTTATGGTCAGAATTTTCTTAAAAATCTAAATCTTTTTTGCTTTCTTTGCCATTTCAGTCTAGGTAATATAACATTTTATTATACTTTTTTTTTTAACCTTATGTTTTATTGATTGAAAACTAGTTTTAAGTGCTTTGCCATTTCAGCATTTTGCACCCTTGTATCTCAATATATAATAACGTTTCTTTTAACAGGTAGTGACTAACTGGTAGTGATGCTGTACAGGCCCCCTTCAATTTATGTCTCGAACGTGACTTCACTACAGAAAATTGTTTGATCACCGTGGAGCATGTGTATTGCGGAGAATTTTGTACATTCTGTTCAAGCATTATTATTACATATACTGGGGTCCAGGCTGCATATTACTGTAACAATTAAAATACCATGTTCCTCCATTCGCAGCACTTCCAGAATCTTCTGAAAAGTTTTCTTCAGTAATTTCTTTCATAATTAAAACAAAAAGGTACAAGAATGTGAATCGGTGTCCCAACATTTTGTTTGGTAGAAGCGCGGGCCGGAATGACAAAGGTTACGCTTTGTAAAGTGTTATATATATGCATATATATATATATATATATATATATACTCTGTGGATTGATATAGTAGTGAAAAAAAAAGATATTTCATATTTTCATATAAATTTTGAATCACATTTATTAGAATGAGTATTTCGTCACATCGGGGGGTAAACTGCAATCTTCATCAAAATGTGTTCATCTAGTTCATTGGAGGGGCTTTTGAGAGTCTGTGAATTTGAGATTACTTCAGAAATTAATATAAAGTTCTAAAATAATATTCAGGTGCAACTAATTTACATTCCTTCCAATGTAATTTTAATGTTTGTTTCTTTTAAAGTTTGGTGTTTTACCCCAAGTATTTTGAGAGTTATTGCTGTTTTCCCCTCAGCTCTTCATGTATTTGTGCACAGCGTTTTGTAACTTATTTCATCATGTTCTATCATTGATTTGTATTCAACTTAGCATAGTTTTAAAACAAATATATTATGTAACTTGCAGTGTTGTTTTGGCCAATGCTTCAGAATTCAGAGAAGTTTTTAACTTGTCCTTAATGTTCAAGCAGAGCTTTTAAACTGACGTAATAACTTTTTTACATCTGTATTTCTAATTGTGTTGAGGTGCCTATGCTTATCAGTCCAAATTCTCATCATAACCTCTCAAAGTTGAACATTCTATTCCAAATGAAAATGGCATTTCAAGATTGACTCATTATAAGGAAAAAAAAATATATCATTTAATTATTATAAAAGAAATTTTTCAATGTTTATCCTCATTCAGTTGTAATGAAATGGATGAAATTTATCTTGTTGGATGTCTTCATTTTAAAATAAATGTGTTAAATTAACATTAAATGAGTTTCAGTGTGATTTTTTAAATAAAAAAATGGCATTGTTACTGGTACTTTTCTTATTTAACAACTTACACAAAATTTCAGGTCACCCTTTAAACATACATTATTTCACAGGTTGTAAAACAGATGAATAGGTTAAAGTATCAAACATGGCAACTCCTCATTTCAAGCAGGAGATTTCTGGTTTTTATTTGTATTCCTGCCAGCCAATTTACATCATATTTGTGCCATCTTTCTTTTATTCCTTAAATTTCTTATAATTTGTATGTAACTTCATATTTTGTATTTATTCATGTGAGAGTGGGTAATTCGGAAAACACTGTGTGAAAACACTTTAATGAACATCAAGCACAAATGCAGATCATCTGGCACACTTTAGCAAATAATCACAAAGCGAAATCAAGGTTATTCTCCGCATTTCTGTTATTGGTAAATAATGCAAATTTCATTTTTCAGTAATTGTGTACAGATGATTTTTCCTGGCACTTCATTATTATTATTATGGCCCTGAGTAAAAATCCTTTCCTCATTTCAATATAATGAATATTGAATCTTGTAGGAAGAATAAAGCTAATTTTTCAGAATAAACAAAATACTTTTATTTAAATTTAAAAATAAACAAAAAAAAAAAAAAAAAATAAATATGCAGCGCTAAGCTATCAAAATTTTAACGTTAACTACTGCAGTTAAAACTCTTACAACTATTAAAATATTAAAAATATTAAACTCTCTAAAAACAAATATATATAAAATCTTTCGAATCCTCTTCTTGTTGCCACACCGTAAAATGCAAGTTCTTGTCCTATATTTATATTTCACGTTCTCTTTAGTCACGATCTTCACAAGTCATGATCTTTACAAGTCACGATCTTTACAAGTCTCCCACAAGAAGCACATTCGTCACGTGAGACAATGTTGCTCAGAGTTCATTGAGAGAGAAAGAGTTAACAGCTAACCTTGACAAAGCATCAGCATTCCCATGTGAACTTCCTTTGCGGTATGTCACAGTCATGTTATACCGTTGTACGTAAGGCCCAACGAGACAGTTTAGCACCATGAGGGCGCTTTGGGTCAAGTAGGTGAGGGGATTGTGATCAGACACAATCTGCACTTTGGCACCGAAAATCCATGTGTCAAATTTTTTCAAGGTTCGATGACACAAAATGCTTCTCGTTCGATGTTGACCATCGTTGTTGACAGGGCGTTAATTTCTTGCTGAAAAATGCTATGGGCATTTCTTTGCCATGTTCGTCGTTTGAGCTAAACACGCTCCAATTGCGAAAGCAGATGCATCCGTATAGAGTTGAAGGGCTTGCTGATGCCGGAGTATGCAGAGATGGCATTTTAATCAACTCTTCTTTAAGTTTGTTAAAAGCTGCTTCTTTTCAGAGTCATGGATATATTTGGAACACTCTTCTTTGTAAGGTTTGTTAGAGGTAAAACAATCTCAGAAAAATTTGGGATATAATCCTATAGTAGCTTGCTAGCCCTAAAAGACTCCTGATCTTTTTTAGTGGTAGCTTAGACCAGATTTCTGATGACTTCTACTTTCTCAGGATCTGGAGAGTGAGTGGCCAGAACCATTACATGCCTAGAAACTTCACGTGGCTCTTTCCGAAATAACACTTTTCTACATTTGCGGTTAGACCGCGTTCTCAGTGTCTGAAACACTTGGTCGATGTGATAGAGGTGGCCATCCCAAGTTTCAGAAAATATTGCCACATCATCAATATATGAACGGCAGTAGTCTTATGGTTTGCAAGCACCTTATCCATCGATTTTGGAAGGTACTTCCAGCATTTTCAACCGAAAGGGAGAACTTTCCATTGGTAATGGCCGGAATGAGTGATAAATGCTATGTAGGGTTTAGCTTCTTCTTTCATAGGAATTGCCAATATCCCTTGGTTAAATCGAGAACTGTTATGAATTTGGCTTTCCCTATTTCGAATAGTAAATCTTTAGCAATCTTCATCGGATAGGCGTCCGGAATTGTGAAGCTATTTAAAAGCCTGAAGTCTATGCACAGTCTAACGCGGCCATTCTTTTTTGCAACACATACTATAGGATGTGCCCAGTTATGTCACTGGGTTCATAAGATCCCATTCTAACAGTTCTTTACGTGACGATCGACTTCCTCTTGAAGTGAAACAGGAACACAGTAGGGCCTCAATCTTTCGGATTACATCCTTCTGAACCTTGATGTCAGACCATCAACATTGGCTTGCCCAGGTTTGCTACTGAAAACATCTACATAATTTAGTACTTAAATAGTCCTTCCGTTGGTAATATTTTAAGTCACCTTTTCGAATTTTGTAAATGGGTCCAGATCATCAGCAGATTTATTATAAGATCTGCTGGGCATAGTGGATATCTCCAAACTCTTCATCTTGGTCAAAAATGATACCAACGTGATCTACACGAGCAATATATGGCCTTAACTTATTTATATGGAGTTCCCTAATACTTCCGTTTCCATTTCGATTTTGGCAGAGTGGGCCTGGTAAGTTTGATCACGGTAGCTGGTCCTTGCCATGGTTGAGCAATTTATGTGATGATGATGGATTAACACGAGGACTTTGTCCCCCAACATTGAAAGTCTTTCTGAGAACGTAAATGTATCTTGAAGTGTACTCTTCTTGAGATATTTTGGAATTGCTGGCAATGTCATGAGCTTTTCTTAATTTTTCTAAAGGTCTTGTAGATAATTTTCATTGAACGGGAAGCTGTAACTGAATGCTACGTCACCTGTCATATTTCTTTCAGCAAGATAATGGTCCTGGTGGTTCTTCCATATACCATCTGGAAGGGAGACAAACCAGTGTGCTATGTGGCACTTCTCTGTAGGCAAAGGAGAATAGGGGAAGATTCAAATCCCAGTTCTGCCATGTTCTTGGATATTTGTTCATCATCTCTTTAAGGTTCTATTCCAACCTCGACAGCACCCATACTCTCGGGGGGCCCTGGAGTGGCGAATCGTGGAGACACACCAAGTAAGTTCTCAAAGCTCGGGTGAGTTTGGCTGTGAAATTAGTTCCCTGGTCGGAACAAATCACTTTTGGGAAATCAGTTTGAGTAAAAAACCTCATCAAAACGTTGCATGTTGTTTTCGCACTTAGGTCTTTGACGGGGGTGGCTTCTGCCCATCTGGTGCATAGGTCAACTGCACATATCACAAACCGACGACCTCTCCTGGATGGAGGTTTAATGGCCCGATACAATCCACGCTCCATACTTCAAAGGGTGTTTACGCCTAACATAGGTGAATTGGGATTCGATCGTTGTACGAACTGTTCTCCTCATGGCATTCTTTACAACTTTCACAGAATTTTAACTCTTGCTTAATAGTAGGCCAAAGAATGAGTACTTGATTCGTTGAATGTCTTTTTTTCCCGAGGTGGCCGGCAAGAGGGATTTTCATGTGCCCTTCTTAGGACTTCCCTTCTTTTTCTAAAGGGTAATACAACTTGCTTAATGTTTTCACCACAGATATATTCGGAATGAAGTAATAGGCCATCATCGAAAGTATATGAATTTGATTTTATTTGCCCCTTCAAAGCATTTTTTCAGAGTTCGTCTGTTCTTGATGGTCTTGATTCTCGTCTTACCTTGTTCGTTGTTTCAGAGACTCTATGGTTTCTTGGGAAATCTGATTAACAACAGCCAAATTGTGTAGTAAGGTCTTTCAACTGTGAGGGTTTATCATCGGTCTTTGTACTCTAAGGGGGATGCATCCCAATGACGATCACAGTCCACAGTTCGATTCCACAGAGGTTTTCATAAGCTGAAGAACTCAATAGCAAGTCGGTAACTAGCTTTTTGAAACAGCACACTTAATGGACACACTACCGTGAAATCATCGTCATTTTCATCTGGAAATCTTTAGGGAGTAATTTCGTTTCAACCAAAAGCAGAAGATATCTCTATTTACTTTCTCTTCGCAAGGTATGTTGTCAACCATTTCTCACGGACTACTGAAATTGTGTTCCCGTGTCTACGATTCCATTTAGAATAATATCTCCACATTTACTTGACCAGTTTTAATTCTCTATGTTTCTAGATACGTCTCCTGATTTTGAGACAGGATAGAGATCTTGGCAGTTAGCACTTCTGGTTTTTTTTTTCTGTAGGGGTGCTTGTTTTTGATAAGTTGTTTTGTGCTGTTACAGAGCACTTCTTGGTATCCGATTTTTGGTACATAACTTAGATGTATGACCGACCCTTCTTTTTCCACAATTATAGCAAGTTAGTTGAAACTAGGCTTTTGTGGTTCGTCACTCTTACGGGGATGGGTACACTCTTGGCGTGTTTTCAGCGGACATCGATTTATTTTGAAAGCTCTTCTGGAAGAGGAGAATGAGGTTGCCATTTTTTTTAGTTCTGTCTGCTGATGGATTACCACCATCCCGTTTTGAGATATTACGAACACTGTCATATTCGTCAAGTTTATCAGCTAATTTGGTTGGAGAAACGAACTTTGCCCAGTCGTCCAGAAGATGGTCTCTTACTTCATCGGGACTCTTTTCTTAATTTGGTCAGTAATAATCAAGTCTTTAACGCGGCAAATTTGTGATTTCAAGACCATTGATCCATTCTCAAAGAACTTGTAATTTCGTAGCAAAAATCTCTCCATGGATTTTTCAGCGCTCTTTTGGTGCATCACAAGTTTTTTCTAAGCTTTCAGGATTTAAATCTCTTAATAAAATGGCCTAAGGTACTCATAATCTTCAAAATTTTCTTCAGATCCCTACCAATTAATTGATGATTTCAGATGGCATTAAAGTCAATAAACATGAAACCCAATCTTAGGATTAATCTTTGTCCTTTTAGCTGTCTTTCAAATAAGGATAAAAAAATCACAATATCATCGTGTCTTAAATTGAATTGGGAATAAGCTTAATTAAATCAAAATTATGATGTCCATTTTCATTTGTTGGTGGAGTTTGTGTTAGTCGAACACGAGATCAATTTCGAGTTTCCTCAATTCAAACTCCATTTGCTTCTCTTTTCTGCTGTGCTTCTAATTCTTCTTTCCTTCGCCTTCCTC